TGAAACATGAGAGAGGGCTAATAAGAAGCCCTGGGTATGTTCTGTGTGGCTTTTCAAATTTGAAATGTCAATGACACCTTGTTGCTCGTGGATGTGCGAAGCATTTCCTGGTTGTTCTGGAGGTTTGTATGCAATGGTCAATACCTCTCTCACTCGTGACCGGAAGCTTGATTAACCAGCCAATCACCAAGCAGTTAGTATTTCAAGCGAATCACAGCACAGGTTAAAAAGTTCTGTTTTACCTCCCAACTCAAATACGTTTTCCGATTTGAGGAAAACGTGTCACGTGCATGTGTCGTGGGTCAAAACTCACTGCCTCCCTATTCGTTGCGGATTTATTTTTTCCACTCTGGAGGGCAGATTAAAAAATACCCAGATTCGCTGCCGAATTCGGCGGATGCGTGTGGACGGAAGCTGTATCCGGAAAGAAAAAGTTGCGGATTCGAAATATCCGGATACGTGTGGCCAGGGCCTGAGGGTCTCGGGGAAACAAAACTAACTGTTTCCCTTGTGGCCAGTCATTAAATGCTTAGTGACAGCACCTCACCTGAGTTCTGCCAAAGAGAGTAACTTCCGGACGTGGAGTGGGGATTAAGTATTCAGTATCTTAGGGTTAGCTTAGGTAAGTCAGGGTATTAGGTTAGGTTAGGGTTTGTTTTCGGGTAAATCATAGTCAGAAATCAAATATTTAGAGGATAACCCTTGCTCGTCGCCCGTGATGTAATGCCTCCCCATTTCAGCGCCCATGATATCCTGCGATATCAATTCACTGATATGGCTAGGATATTATGCTCACTTGGCCGAATTTGGGTACGGTAAATAGCTAATTGTATCTTCTTGGTACGCTTTGGCGGCATATCAAACTCGTTTGGTCTTGCCAAGGGTATTTTGGCTCGACTACGTCTCGTCAAAATATGAACCATGGCTCGTCCAAACTCGCCTGATATGCCGCCGAAGTGTACCAAAATAGGTATAAATATTGTTAGATGTCCATGATATTCCCAAGTAAGTTTATTACAAGCCTTTTCCAAAGCTTTGAGTCAGATTTTGGATTTTCTGGCTTTTATATTCTTCCATTACAGTCGAAAAGGACGTTTAATAGCCTAAACTTTTTTACCTCCCCCGGTGCCTTTTCTTTTTCATAGTCAGTAAATTTGCACAAGACCTGCAATGTCATGAACCTCCTGGAGAAAAGGAAATTGATTCGAATTGCCGACAGGTTTGAAAAAAAGGGGGTTAAAAAGAAGNACCTAATATGCATTTTGTAGCAAATAGTTCTATTTAGTCTGTAGAATTTCATTTTTCTGTTAATTTTAATTTAACTATCTTTTAATTAAGCAACTCACCGTAAGGTCATTCTTTAAAGCATGCCCGACAAGGATTTTCCCTCGAAGAAGTTTTGAAACTTCAAGTTGAACTGTCTTGAAGTCTGGGGCTGATAGAAAAGAGAGAAAAACAACAACAAAAAGACACCAAAAGAATTAACTTTAAAAGAAAAGAAGAGTTACCCTAACCTAGTCTATCCTTAGCCATCAATTATGCTTTTTGTTTTTGTACATTAATCTCTTCTCTAATGAAGTATTCTGTTTATATTGTGGTTTCAACAGACATAAATGATTAACTGACTGTGAATTTTCCCATTATAACTACAATCCATGTTACATTGTTTTTCAGCTACCTTACATTTACTGTTCAAATTGGATCACTTACTGTAGTATATTATAAAAAATAGATCTGAGAAAAGTTAACAGCTATTACGTAATTTATACCTTTCCATTGGTATATGACTTGTGGTCTTTGGGTCCACAGAATGATACCACTTTAGAAAAAAGTCATAATTTTATAGCATACCTACTGCTCAAGTGTAAGTTACCACCGTCTCGAGAGGCTCTAGTGTCGCCAGACAAGTGGAGTTTTAAAACTGTCAGTACAACTGCTTGAACTTCAGATTCTCTCATGATGAGAATCTTGTCCTAGGAGATGTGACTCTGATATCGCGAGAAGAGATCCTTGTCTAGAGAAACGAGACAAGAGGTGATAACTTACTTTTGAGCGATACCATGACCTCTTGTTCAAAGTACTATTCATTCCAGGAACCTACCATTTTTCAAATTTACAGGTTTTATTCCACTGACAGGAGTGCGGTAATCAACCACCTTCTCCTGTGGTGCCACGAATGAATCATAGACGACATGACCATGAGAGTTTACTATGGATACTCTTGCCAACATGTGTCGCTTGCCATCAAACCCAACCCCAACCATCTCACAGTCCAGGGCAATCTTCTTTGTTAGCCTAGAAAAAAAATACCGGTAACTTCTTTTTTACTCATTTGAAGTGACTTTGTGTGTTTTTGCAAACAGAGAAGAAGACATGGTAGAACAGAATATTATTATAAACTGGCTCAAGGTTCCTGATCCTCTCTCATGTAGTCCAGTTCTAACCCAATTATAATACAGTTATGAATGAAACACCTTTCTTAAAGTGGAAACCTTGAATGTTTTTCAACTTTTCATCAGTTAAATGTGAAGAGAAACAGGTACAACAGTCAGTGCACTGGTTGTTCTGACAAGCCACTAGAAGTTTGAGTAACAAGTGGTACGTCTTACAGCATGGTTTCAAATCAAGAAGACTTCATACAAACCCTTCAAGAGTGCCAGTGACCAGTACATCACTAGGCTCTACTCCATTGGATGTTTTGATTCTTTTTCCTGTAACTTCTTCAAGATCTTCAGGATCAACATCATCAAACCACATTTCACTTGAGCTAAAAGGACACAGCAAAGGTAAAGAATCTGATCTCACCGACATGTCAGCCAACACATCAACCGACGCATTGGTAGACACACCACTGACACATCGACACACTACCGACGCATTGGTCGACACACTATTGATGCGTCGGCCGACACACTACCGACACGTTGGTCAAAATATTTTCCCTATCTAACTATTATTTTGTTATTTCTTTCAGCTGGAAGCAAGAACAACTTCATAAGAAAGGACTAAAACGTGATAGCTAAATAGCCGCCTTTTTTGAAAATGAAACACTAGGACACAAATACACCATAATTATAGGGACAGTGATGGCAAGTGCCTTAAATATCATATTAATATTAGTTAACTATAAACTACATGATCCACATGTAGACCAAAGTCCATTGATTAACCAACAACTTTGAATTACTTCTGGTCAAACTACTTGCCATGAGTACAGTGCTAATACAAGGCTAATTCCAATCAATACGCTTCTAACTTGGCTCTGAGGCTTAAGGAATGAAACAAATTAAAGAAATTACTTATTCATCCCTCAACCTCAATTTGGTTTCTTTTGTTTTATTCTCCTAAGCCTTGGAGTCAAGAATAATATATTGAAATTGGCCTATCAATAGTAGACATTATAGCATGGAAGAAATTTAAATTATGTATGAAAAATCTAGAACACAGCTCCTTGTTTCCTAGCACATCTATTGTCCTGTGATTTACAATGTACATGATTGAATACTTTCCAAAATCTTATGCCAGTGAACACTGACTCTAAATATACTGACCAGAAATATTTTGCAATGTTCCTTTAAAGTATCTGTACCACTCGGAGACTATCATTAAGGAAACAGGTCATATTGTTTCATCAAACTGCTACCCTGATAGACGTTGCCCTAAACCAAGTAATGCTGACCATATACTGAAGTGACATCACTCAAAATTATACAGATATTACAGTATGACAACATGATTATGAAGAGGAATCTAACCACATCATTAATTGCTTACTGTATTGAACCCTCAAAGGTATTTTAAGATTAAACTTTTGCAAGATGTTTTCTCAGAAACTATAAAATTCTCTGGTTTCAACTTGCCTTGTTGTTTGTTCTGTTTGATCTCGTTTCAATCTTTTCTTGAACAACTTCTTACTCCTGGGTCTCACTTCTCCTTTCTCTTTCTTGGTCCGCTTTTCTTTTTCAAGTAGCTACACAATAAAATTTAAATGAAACAAACCTAATGTTTTTTTTTCTTTTTGTTTATGGTAAGCTGTCATATCATGAAAGCTCACAAATACATCAATACAAACTTATCTACCATGTTCAATAAAATAAATTTACTGGGCAATAAGCTTAATGTGAATCAATCAAATAGAGGCACATGTATAAATCCCTCCTCTGGCATACTGTAAGGTAAGGATACAGGGGTAAAACCAGACTACTTGATCTGGGGTTGAGCACACTAATCATGAGGCCACTGCACCTCCACTCTCTGGCATAAATTCCATGTATTTTACTTGTTGATTTTTCCAGGGGGAGAGAGCCATTTGGCATTATTCTTGTAATTTGACGCCATAAGGAAGGGGTAGGAATTCAAAAAAAGTGGACTTGAACTTGTGGTAAAGAAGTTGCAGACATCAAGGGACAACCCTGTCCTTATTTGAAATTGTCTGGAAGAATTATCGTCTGAAAAAGAGGGCCTTAACAAGCTTTGTGCCGTGTTTGAAAGCATAGTCCCATCTACTAACTATGTTGAAAGTAAATACGGTATATAGTTTTGCTTGTAGAATTCAAATCCCCTTTTCGGTTCCACAACTCATTTTTTGCCATGTACATTTACGTCCCAGGGTAGGAGCATTTGGTCAACAAATATAACCCTAAGGACTAAGGGGGTGGTTAGTTTAATAAATACCATTTTTGGCCCCGGGTATGGGATGTTGAACAACCAAAACTTCAAAAGTTCAAACATATTATCCAGGTTTGTTTTGACAGTGAAAGATTATTTAAAACAAACCAAATACAACTATTTAACAGAATGGAAGAAGCTTAGTTTTAAAAATTAGAATACTACACTTGCTATTTTACTTTCAGGTTTCAAACCTTCGGGGGTTTCAAAGCTTCAAAGCTTACCGCTTGTAGCAATTTCCAGTTAGACGACATTTCGGTTGCGGTTTTTGGCAATTGAGGCTGAATAGTGTGTGGGTTCTCCACATTCGGGTTTCTTTTGCTGGATTTAATTGTCCTCTTTCCTTTCGCATCCTTTAAATGCAAGTTACGGGTGTGCTTTCGTTTACGCTCTAAGCGTTGAGTTTCACGTTCGTCCGCCATCTTGGAAATCTCCTCTCTGAATCTGCAATATTTTGCACAGCGAAATTTTGAGTTCATAGAGGACGTGGAATAAAGGACTGTCGGAATAAGGGTACCCGGTGTGCACCAGATTCCACATCACGCTGTACTCGGAATGGGTTAGATAAAGCTCGTGTAATTTCTCAAAGGTGGCCAGAAAGTGTTTCACACGTTTAGAAACTGTCTTTTTTACTATCGTAACCCAGCTAAGGTCATTCATCGTGAGCGCCAGAGTTCCCCGAGAACGTGCGCTGCCGAAGAGAGTTTGTTCACGTGACATCACAACCAAAAATAGCATCGTTTCTCACCGAAATGGAGTAAGATACATCACAAGTCATGGCTGCGTCGCCTGGTTGTAAAGTAAGTTATCCCTCTCTCGGACAGTTTTAAGTTTACAAGAAGACGTTTTTCTGTCAGATTTATTTTATGTATTAATATTGTCGCCTAGGTTCGAGTGCTGTATGATTTTGAAGGTGATTGTCCTTCTGGGGAACTTGTTGTCTGCACGGATGAAATCTTGACCGTCACTAGAACGGTAGGTGCTAAAATATGTAAAGCTTGCTCTTACTGTTTTCTTTGTACCTGTTTTGTAATTTTCCTCAGTTGTTTGTTTGTTTGTATTTTTTTATTTTTTCCTGCCAGGACGTCGGCGAAGGCTGGTGGGAAGGGATTAGCCCCAACGGCTCAAGAGGCCTGTTTCCTCAAGCTTACGTTGAGGTGAAATTCCAGTGAACTTTGTGCACTTCAATGTCAGTTTGTCTAGTCTGATTATAAAGGAAACAAGGGGCATAGTGTTTCAGTGAAGCCTTTTTACGCAAAGCAAGCATTTCCGTATCAATAGACAAGAAACCTTTCACGAAAGTCCTCACACTTTCACGAATGAATGGAAATGTTTAGGTTGTTAATGTCTTATTTTGCAATACTTGAATTAGCTAGCCAGGACAATTTAAGCTTAATTTGGAAATTTAAAGTTAATGTTGTGGCTACTGTACTGTTAGTTTTACAAAATTAAGTTTGTCACTGCAGTTATGTCTACACATACCAATTACAGTGATCGGCCTGCACTCGTTACAGATTTACAATATTGTTAATCGATAACAGTTTGCGTTATTCTCACGTGGGGTAAAGTACCAACATTTATTTTAATACTTCTGTCTTGCCACATTTACAAACGTTGTGGTGAAGAGAAAGCACATTAACTTAGATTGTTATCATTCAGACCTCAAAGTATTAAAATCTGTTCATCAATGGAAAAGTTATCTTAACTACAAAAGCTGTTTATGTGGCAAGGATGTGATTGTTATGAGCAACACTAACAGTGGCTGATGTTTGACCAAGTTTGGAATTTACAACTCGTTAGCATATTGGGTGATTCCAGAAAATATCCATACCCTACCACAGCGGCGTGAACATTTTAACCCCCTCCCCCTTGCCTTTGGAAATTCCAAAATGGTCTACCCCCCATGCCCTCCAAATTCCAAAGTCGTTAACTTGACCTCCCTTCCATCCTAGTTTGACTCCCTACGACTTCCAACAAAAGCGATTTTACGCTTTTACGTCTTCCAAGAAGTTTGCCAACTGTCTACAGGGCTTGAAATTGCAACCGATATGATCACATGCATTTTTGACTAACTGTCCAGTGACTAAAACTTCTTCCTCTTCAGTCACAATATTCTGCAACTTCATTTTCGACTAAACTAGTGAAGGAATAAAAATTTCAATTGTTTGTGTGTTAATTACTATGGAAAATAGAACATCCGCGGGCAAATCCTGCTCAATTTACCTTTGATATTCTGAATGATATTTACTTGTTCAGACACCATTACAGCGGTTTCTTTATGAATATGTATCTCTGGCGCATAGTAAACAAACATAGCAGGTCGCCATCTGTCGCAAACGATTTTTTAATGAGAAATTCATCAACTTTAAGACCTCTGGAGCCCAATGTACAACCCAGAATTTATCACTTTTCTTCTGTAAGTGAACACATGTGTGATCCATTCCTACGTTCACGGCGCTTTACAAAGAAATGTAGAAAAATATACAATCAGTAATAAAATCTATATACAAAAAGAACAAGGTTTAAAAACTAAGTACATTTCAAAAATATTAACAATCTCTTCAAAAACAATGAGTAGCTGTCCATAAATAGTGTCCGCTATAGTAGAATGTCTACAAAGATTTATTACTTGTACAGTACAGACCTACATGTACATCTAAAAGTACTAAATTCCTGTTAATATTTTCCACAGCTTATAGACTATTCACCTCCACAGTCAAGCAATTTTCGACCACTGCCCTCGGGACCTATGCCTAACCAGGGCTCGTTTGACACAGCGGATGGGTGGGATGATGACTGGGATGATGATGAGACTGTAAGTAACTACAGTGGAGGGGATCAGGAATCAACCATTTCATCCTTACCCAGGCGAGAGACCAACTCAGGAATGGTGAGAACAGGCACCGTACGTAAGAGCATGAACAGGTAATAAATAATGTCATCTTATTATAGCTGCAGTCCCACTTTTAAACTGAACTGCAGTGGAACCCCACCTTAAGGCCACCCCGTTAATATGACCACCACATTAATATGACCACCTTGTTATCATGGACACTTTATTCTGGTCTGAACAAAAGTTCAGTCAGCCATTATTTTCAGCCATCCCATTGGGACCTAATTTTTGACTGGATTAACGGGATTCCACTCTAATGTGAATTTAACCAATGGATTAACAAAACCAATCTGTTGTTCTTCTGTAGCCAACTAAATGAAAAACAAGTACATAGTGTACATGACGTAGACAAAATATGTTGTGTATGTAAAGTAAATTGTATGCAAAAAGATACATGTAACTTGAGGCCACTTTTTAAACCTGGTTCACATTTTAAATGCAATTGCATACACCAATTCAAGTGCAAACACAAGAATACATTTGTGAACTGCAAATGGTATAGAGCAGTTTTCAACTGAATGTCATAAAACCAAAACCAAAACCAAACCAATTACTGACCAATTAGACTACAGTACTCAATTTAAACTGGACACTCAGTTGAAAACCGCTCTAATGCAAAAAAGAGCTAGGAATAGGAAATTTCCCATTTTCTGGTGCTTCTATTTATACTTGTTTCACTTGTGAAGATTGCAAATGCAAATGCATGTATGCAATCTAAGGAAGCAAAGCATGACCTATCTTCCATCTTGAAAAAACAAATTAAATGGGACCATAAAATGTTCCTTATGTTCCTGGCTCTTGCTAAGCATACATTATGTGGACATTGTTTATGTTACTTTACAGTTGCATTAATTTTCTATGCTTATATATATACATGTGAATTCTAAAGGCATTATTAGTTAATTTTTATTAAAGTTAAACCTTCATTACTTTCCAAAGGTTTTCTCATTTTGTGAAGTCTGGTGGAGAAGCTTATATTATTGGTGCATCACAGGGAGATGTTAAAATTCCTCACAATGAAAGAGTAGCAATCAGGGTAAATTGTTTCTTAAGGTAATAAAGTAGCTTGTCCAAAAATTCAACACAATGTCCCAGGCAAGGGCTTGAATCTGGACCAGTCAGTCCAGAGCTCAGTGCACTAACTGCACCTCGACAGTGATAGATTGAGAGAGAAGCGCATTGTAGGGCCAGGGTAGAGATCAGATCATCAGATCTGTAGTGTGATACATTTAGTAACTGCTTGACCTTGTCACCTTGACAACTAGGCAACAGAATCCTGTCGCATCCAAAACATGTTCATCTATTGTCAACAACTTGTTGTCATGTTGACTCTTGCACTTCTTTTACTTGATGGATCAAATAATAATTATTCTATGAAAGCCTTGAAAGAAATGTAAGACAAAAATTTTAAGTTGGCAAAACATGTAAAATATTATTTTATCATCATAAGTTTTATCTTGGTGGCAGTATGAGGTGCATAACAGACAATGTGTGAGCTACTGTGAATAAAATTTTGTTTCCTTTTTCACTTTTTGTAGGAAGATGGAAATAGAATTGCTTGGGATAGGAGCCCTGACCCATTTACTTGTGTGATAAATGCTCCAGAGAAGAAGAGTAAATTTAAAGGAATGAAGAGTTTTATTGCTTACAATTTAACGCCCAGTGTAAGTCATGAAAATTTAGACAGAGATTGGGATTAAGTCTTCAATGAATGTGTGGTAATCATGAATGGGGTAATGTTTTGTTAATTTTCACTGTCATTGTTTTTTTTAGAATACTGGAATTGTTGTCAGCAGAAGATACAAACATTTTGATTGGTTGTTTGATCGTTTTGTCGAGAAGTTTACATGTATATCAGTTCCACCATTACCAGACAAACAAATTACAGGTGAGCAGGGAAGGTAAAGTAACTTATACAGTGCTTGTTTTATGTCGCATATCCTCAATGAGTTGTAACCCACTCACGTACTGTCCTAACATTGAAATACTATGTAACATTTTTTTCTTCTTCAAGGGAGATTTGGTGACGAGTTTGTGGAGAAAAGGAAAGAAAAACTGCAACTATGGATAAACAGAATATGTCTGCATCCTGTATTGTCTCAGAGTTTGGTGTTTAAACATTTTCTCACATGTGGAGACAATGAGAAGGTGATTAATCAAGATGACATCTAGACCTTTTAACATTAATTTTTAGTTTTGGCAACCCACTAAAGCCAGTTAGCCCCATTATAATCAAGTCCCCAGTTTAGCAGACAAAATTCTCCATTCTTCATTCCTCATTCAATCAATCAATCAATCTTTATTTAAACATGAAAATCTTATCATAAAAATGGTCTTCCTAGGAGTCGTGTAAAAAATTACAAAGAATAAATTAACTATATTAACAGGAATGGATTTACTAACATTACATTACATTAACTAACGAACTAATTAACTAGCCTACAGTAAAAACTTATGTAATAAAACTTTCTCTAATTTACAGTGCACTAAAAATAATCTTTCCCATTCAGTGAGGTTTTAAATAGTTTTAAACTAGATAGGTTCTTCATTTTTCAATAGATTATTTTCATTTCTTAGGAATGGAAGCAAGGCAAAAGAAAAGCAGAGTGTGATAAGCTTGTTGGTGCTTCTTTCTTCATGACAGTGGACTGTCCACCACAAAAATTAGAACTGCTGGCAGTGTAAGTTTTATGATACTATTGGCATTCATTTTTGTCATTTCTAGCCAGGTTAGTTAATCTTAATCAGCCTTTAACATTATTATTACAATCAAGTTTATTGTCATCAGTATATAGAGGATATTACATGGCCGAGCGGAGGTACAAAATTTATCTTCGAGTGTTGATAAATATTTCATGATATTTCCAGACATTTTCCGAAGATTGCCAAAGATGCCAGAAGAAGATGTGAAGATGTTTTGATCATACACCAACAAATCTAAGTGTAGTTAAAGGGTCAGAAGATCATTTTTTAAAAAATGATATCTTCACATGTGAAGATATCATATCGTTTTTATCAATTTGTTACCACTCGGTATACCACTGTCCTTTATGTAATAAAACATGATTTGTGATGGTTCACTTGATTGCTAACATTTGCATTTCTCTTGTCTCTTAGTGAAAATAGAATGGAACAGTTTGGACGGTTTATAAAAAATATGGATGAGAGTGTCAAGGCGATTCAAGAGCGAGGTCAAGTGCACTGTGAAAAGTGTCAAGGATGTAAGTTCTCAATGTTCTCAACAATGTTGAGTCAGAGGTAGCATGGCCCCCATTTAGGACACTGGATTTGTAATTAATCAGGGGGCCCCAAGTTCAAATCCTCCTCCCTGTTTTTGGATGGATTTGTGTTCAGAGGTCATAACTACAATTCCTACATGTCTTGTTAATAGCCACTGGTCAGCCTCCAAATACCATACACTCATTAAATAAAGTGATTTTCTTTTTCATTTTGTTTGATTCAAACATAAAGTTTCCTGATGTTTGGGGGATGTTTGAGGTGGTACAGAAATGTTGAATTTCCCATTGACATGCGTTACTCAATGTGTAGTTCCAGAAGATACCCATACCTCCCCCACAAAAGGGAATTTGTCAAAGTCCCCCCACTGCTCTGGAAATTCCAATTGAGATTCATACATTTCTTTAAATTTTTTGGTCTTACAGGACTCCCACCCCTCAGGAAATTCCAATCCCTTCTGTGGGGGGAGTATGGATATTTTCTGGAACTGAACAATGATATTCAGTAAACATTATACCATTGGATAGACAAAATTAATCATTATTAGACTCGGATGAATCCAATTGGTGTATGATACACACTAGATGATAGTTGATAATAATATACAAGCTTGAAATTCAAGCATTTATTGTTAATTAATGTTTTGTTTTCTCCTTGACAGCTTACAGGAATGAATATAAGAAAATTGGTAGTACTTTTGGATCTCTCAGCGCAGCTTTTGCAGTTGATGTAGATTCAGAAAGTAAGTGTTTGCTCTTTTTTGTAGAAAAATAATAGGAAGCTTGAGTAATGGTGATGGCGATACTGAGGATGATCCATTACTAAAAAAATAATTTAGATGTAACCTTCAAATTTTTTACATCTGTTGGTCTAAGCTCTTGCTCAAGCTAAATATTTAATGCCAGCATTCAGTCACAAATGGAAACACTTGAAGGATGACAACTATTCTGCAACATTATAACATCTTTACTTTTCTGTACGTGTACCTCTGCCTAGGCTCAAGTCAATTAACACAAGCAGTCGAACACACAGGAAAAACATATGATGATATTGGAGAAATGATTGCTGACCAGGTGTGTAAGAAAAATGATGAAATTAAACCCCTGTTGTGGCTAGCAGAGCTGTGCAACTGTGGAGGCTTGGTGACCTCATGGTTAGTGGGCTCGACTCCGGGGCAAGCAGTCCGGGTTCAAGCCCTGGCCGGGGACACTGTGTTGTGTTCTTGTGCAAGACACTTAACTCTCTCAGTGTCTCTCTCCACCCAAGAGTATAAATGGGTACTAGCAAATTGTTGGGGAAACCTATCAAATTGTGGGGAGTGACCTGCGATGGACTAGCATCCCGTCCAGGGGGAGTAGAAATACTCGTAGCCACTTCATGCCACAGAAACCGGGATAAGCTCCGGCAGCCACGAGCCAGTCAGCTCCAAGGCTTCACTTATTTTAGAGCTGTGAAATTAAATTCAGTATATCAATGTAAGGGCAACCATGATCCAGTCATAGATGCTGATAGCATGAGCAAATCACTTCACCAGGATTCATTTTCTCATGCGCACAAGTTTTGACGCACATTCCCCCAGGTCGTACAGTAGAATACAGCCCGCTAAATTGACCAATCACAGTGTGCTTACTAACTGAGAGATATAATAATAGCTTTAATTAAGTATACATTTTTTTCAGCCAAAGAATGACTTTATACCATTGATCGAAGGACTCAAAGAGTATTCAGGGATGCTGAGCACATATCCAGATGTATTACAAGTTCACAAGGTAATTTAGACGTTCTTTCCGTTCTTAGAGTTTTCTCTGGGAGGGAACGGCTAGCTTTACAGAGGTATTCTGACCATTAGTCTCTCACTCTTTTTTTTTTTAACAGGGCACAATTGGCAAAGTAAAAGAGTGTCAGAGACTTAAGGATGAGGAAAAAATGGAGGTACATTTATTATGAAACACCTGAGCTGATTTTTTTTTGCAGGTTTATTCTTGCAACCACATTAGAGAAGTTGTTTTCAACTGGCTTATACAGGTAGCTCTTTACTACTACATGTATTCTTCACACCTTTTTGTTAACTTACTTGCTTAACAGGATTCTACATTTGAAGAGATCAAAGCACGTGCTGACACCATAACAAATGTATCATTTGGTAAGTAGATTTGTGACCTTGAGTGAGGCAGTCAGGGTTTGTTTCACAGAGATGCCATTTTCGTTTTGACATTAGTCTGTAACGCAGGCGTATTTTGGTGAGCAAGCGTAATTTTATAAACCAAGCACCATCTTAGATTCAACCTCACAAGAAGCTAGGGGAAATATGAAAAAGTGTCCTAGGGAGGAGGAGTGAGGCTAAAAGAGGAGTATGGGTGAGGGGGAGGGGAAGGAAATTGAGTTTTTTCCCTGCTTCTGCCCCCACCCCCTCCTCGTTCACTTTTCCTAAGACAACATGGTGATAAATCTACTTGATCGTGAGCTAAAACCGATAAATGGTGAGCATACCAAAAATGCCTGCACTGCAGGATATTTTTACATCCAAGCATTTCTTAGTAAAAACAAAGAGTGGAAACAATTTAGAGGGTTTGTATGTTGGTACAATGTGAAAAAAAGGAAAACAAAAAAATTGTAAATTATACCTGACATTCAAATGATGCTTAATGCTCTGAAAGAGAATATTAAAAGCAGATTCTGCATACTAAGTGATTCTAATAATGTTTAAATTAAGTTTTTTCCTTGCTCATAATTTCTTGTGTACTTGTTTGCAGCTGAAATGAGTCATTTTCATGATCAGAAAGTTTCAGACTTCAAAAACATGATGCAGCATTTTCTTCAAGAACAAATAAGCTATCACCACCGGGTAAGGTTTACATTTTGTGATGTTTCTTTTGGTTTGACTCTAAAAAAATTTGTCACGGATTATCATAACTGTATCAAGATTCTAGAGTAAGCGTAATGAACTGTTAAACTTGTTAGTGAGTTCATAATATAGCAGTTAACACTTAATCAGTGGCAGATCCAGACCTTTAGCTAGGGGGGGCAGGGGGGGATGTTTTTTTGGCTTTCCCTGCCGGCTTTTCTTCTCTCTGTGATTTTTTTTACCCAAAATAAGGGGGGCTGGGGCCCCTCCCCTAGATCTGCTACTATTGATGACTGGTATAGACAACTGTCACCCATTTTATGAACTTTCATTGGCCTTTTCAAACAAGATGAAAGAGCCTAAAACATTACCTAATGCACTTTCTTTGCTATGATGACTGTATCAGTATGCCTCTTACAGTTTACATATTTCCCAGAGCTAGCAAGCTTGTGAGATACTGAACTTTCCATCCCTCAGAGTGTTATTTGTTTTTCTGTATTAACAATATCCATTTTTGAGGCTTCATAGCAACACGAAGTAAGATATGGCTTTGATGAACCACACAATGTCTGTGAAGTTCATTATTTAATGAAGACATACATGTTTCGGATGAGACTTCATCCATCATCAGTTGTACAGTGAGAAATAAAATGAAAATGTGCAATAAATAGTATAACAAAGTGAGATGTTAACAAGAATAATTAAGGATGAAGGTGTGAACCAAAAAAGGGTAAAACTATTTGAGCTAAGAAAGGATACTAATATCTGTTTTTCTTTTTTTCTGTCATTTCCAGGTAATACAAAAGCTAGAAGACTCCTTGCGGATGTATGATCACATTCAATAACTCAATTTCCCAGAAATCAGCATTTCACTTAAGTTGAAGATGCATGCATTTTTATATCAACAGTAGGCTTAACAAAATAATATGGAATTACAAAAACTCATCTTTTTAACCTAACAAATATTATGATGAGAAAGAACTTGTCTGTTGATATGTTGAGAAGATTTTTGCGATACAGGCAAGAGCATTTTAGTCATGTATTAAAATTAATTCTATTTTCAATCAGTAATATGTTAACTAACAGAGATAATTATGCCGTCTAGTTTGCCAGAGTTCTTTCTTAAGGTTACCGTTTTTAAAACTCACTCTGTATCAAAGTATCAAAGCAGTAACGATTTCATCTTTCTTGACACAGTGTTATAAATCATGGGCGCTTGAAAATTGCTGCATATTTAGGGGAAAGGAGGTGACTTAAGAATTCAATGCAATATTTTATTATGAAATATGAATGCAAAGCACAAAAGAGTTCAAGGACGGATTCTTCTTTTCAAAACAATTATTCAACAATAAAACTTGTTAATTTTGTTACCTTTTTATGATGAATGTATGATAGATGTCATTTCATTTTTCAGTGTTAACTCCTTTAAATTTCTTTAGATTTGAAATAAGCAGTCTTCAGAGTTCTTCCAACCTGACCTCCCTCCCTCAAAAGATACCAACCCCTGTTTACCTGGTACAGTTTTAAGGAACAGTGGCTGCTATACCAGTTGTTTGCAAACTTCATACTAGTACATTATTTTATTGACAGAGTCTATTATATTTCTAAAGGGATTTCTGATATCTATAGAAAATTTGCTACTCAAAAATGTGTGTAAAGAAATTCACCTAGTGTAGGATTCCAATTTAATAGAATGTAAGCCCACCCGAAAAGATCCCCCCCCCCC